TACTAACCGTACCCTACCCTTACCGTTACCGCGTTAACGTACGTTAATTAACGTAACTACTAACTACTACTACTACTACTATACTATACTATACTACTACACACACACACACACACACACACACACACACACACACACACACACAACAACACACACACACACACACACACACACACATATATATATATATACATATATATACATATATATATATCACAGGAAGGAAACTGACCTGTTTGTCCATCTCCATTTGTTCCGCCATCAGCACTTTCTTCTTGTTCAACAGGTCTTGGCCCTGGATTGAGATACGAGGGCAAGTTAGCACGAAACGTCAAACACCGCTACACCGATGTCACAGCTACCTTTAATTACTCGAGAAGAAGTATGATTTCGAAGTGATTAAGCTAAGTACAGATACAGAATCGCATGCACATACATTGATACGAGTATGTATCATAAATATTTTTAGATGGATTTGGTTGTGGAATAATAATAAGAATGCACTCCAATCGTAACATTATGCGAAAATCCGCCTGGATTCTGCATCTTGGATTTGCGATTGCCGATGAACTACGACTCCTGGCTTGGGTACAAGTCAATATACAAACACATCTAGTGATTTGCGCGAGAGTGACCGAGAAGATATTGCAAAAAACAAAACAAAAAAAACAGTGCAGCCCCAGTACAATACTTCCCGGGATGCGAAAAAGTACTATGGAGGTGTGAGAACAAGAAACACGTCGTACACCCATCTTGAATATCTCTGAGCCCGAACTTCTAACGGAAGAGGTCACTCACGGGGATATTCTTATACTACATGGGCCAGAACCCATGTAACCCAACACAGAACAGAACAACCAATTTGCACAATAAATCCATACACAACATAAAGTGACACCAACCTTTGGTACTATACATCATCCTTCCCGGTCGTACGCACCAAGCGCATCGCGAACCCAGAGCCAAGGACAACTTGGACAACGCAACACACTCACGCAATCTCTGACACAACTAACATGTATCCTTCAGAGTAAACTCGCACACCTGCTTGAAGTTGGATATGCGCTCATCCACCTGCCCGTCTTTCCCGGTCGTGTCAAGCACACTCTTGCCCCCCAGAAACGGTGGTAGCTTAGACGGCAGACTTTTGCCCTCAGCCACAGCGGCCATCAGATGCTTGGCGATGGCAAACTCCTCGCGGTTCAGATTTCCATCCTGATCTTTATCGGCCAAGTTCCAGATCTAGAGGGTCGATAGAGGGCCATTAGAGGGTCAGAATGGAAATTAAATGGGCGATATTGGGACCACGACCAGTCGGTGCAACCGAATCAATGCCAACATTATTACTAGGGGTGAATCGGAGACGAATCAAAAACATACTAAAATTGGTTCAGAAGCCAAAAATCCAAAACAGATGCATATGACAATATCGGATAGATAGCATCCTGATCTAGACATGGCCACAGTCACGGTCACGATCACGATCACGCACAACATACCACACAAGCTCATACTGTACCATGTTCTCCACTAAACGCTTCCTTGTACCAGTTTGTCATGGTCACGATCACGCACAACTTACCAAACAAGCTTGTACTCTACCGTGATCTCCACTTCACGCTTACCTGTGCCAGTTGTTGGGCCGGTAACCTTGCCTCGCGCGTGAAGATCTGCCTGGCCTGCACCCCCGTCACATAGCCCACTTTTTTGGCATCCGCCTTGTTGAACTCCTGGTTGTACTTCAGCCGCATCTTGTGCTCGATAGGTTTGAGAGACCCACCCCCACCCCCAGAACTCTTCGGTGCCTGGTACGAGGAGCCGGTGTAGCCTCCCCCCATACCCCCTGCACCGCCGAAACCCGAGGACTCCATTCCCATGCCTGCGCTACCTCCGTAGCCCCCACCCATACCCCCCATGCCTCCCTGTTGGGACAGAAGGAGAAGATGGTGGCTTCCGAATGAGTTTGATTAGGATGGGATTGGAAATGTGATTCGAATCGGTCAGCGGAATGCTATGGAAAACGGGATTGTTACTCGAGTATTGGATTTCGGGCAAAGAAAGCACACAAAGAAAACATAAAGTATCGGCCTTCGGCGTCATATTAGGTTTGGAGCGATTTGGATGAGGCCACGGCATGTGAGCGTAGAAAGCCAGAAATGAAGTACAAAGGCATATCGTTGGCGGCATAATTGATGCCAGCAATTACACCCCCAGCAACACAAACATCAAATATAAATACAGACCGACGTCTACATAACTTGGTTGCGCGCACATTTATACACACACGTACCTGTCCATAGCCGCCACCCATGCCCATGCCCCCCTGCATGCCACCGCCCATGATATTCATACCCCCCCCGTAATTACTCATACCACCCCCCATATTATTCATGCCTCCTCCCATAGCATTCATACCACCACCCATGCCCCCCATGCCACCACTCATCATCGGGCTCGGCGATGTCATGCCATTGGCACCTGTTGCGATGAAGCCGGCCCATACAACACCACAGCACCGTAGGAATAGGTCAATTAATGGCGGAGAGGCAATGAGGTTACAGGTTGTGTGCGCTTATGTATGCAAACGTAGCTGTACACAGATTGCCACTGCTAACATGAGTGGGTAGCGAGCCACATATTAATGTCAGCAGCGCAGATGCTCCTAGGGGGTGTAGCTAAGGAGCTCCGAATCAATTACCCACCACCAACCAAACACCCCAGTCCATATACATAGCACCAACAATACTATGCCTCAAGTAATAGCTCGCCATTGATCAGAATACTATGTACATACACACACCAACACCAATCATGTGTCTCCGACTCAACAGTACTCCACCGACCAAACACCCCTAGCCTACATACATAACACGGATGATACTATGCCTCTCGCCATTGATCAGAATACTATGTACATACACACACCAAACACCAATCAATGTCGACTCCCGTACCTAAACACCCCTAGCC